TATACTTCTAAAAATAGAAGTATTGATCCAAGTAAAAGTACTTATTAATGCAATTGATCATGTTAGGATAAATTTGAGCCAAGTGGAATTGTTTAAAAAGACCCCCATAAAAATCTTGATAATATGTATAGTTGTCGTAGCAAAGGTTAATACCAAGCTACCTGGGTGTACCACTTAGTTAAATCGAGGCTCAATCCGCGAGAGCCACAAGAAAGCGAAAGTAAAGATAGATTTATTACAAGGTTAAGCGGTAAGAATAGTAAAAAGAAAGTATGACAGATAGAAATAATACATCACCAGCCGGGGTAGCAACTTGCCTCAACACCGAGAAAACTGGGAGGTCCCCAGAAGGCAATTGGTCAGGGTCCCATTGGGCAGAAGTCCTGCATGCAATTCTAATAAATCACCGGTCGGTCGGGGTAGCACCTCGGCTCAACATCGTAGGACAACTGGGGAAATCCCAAGACAGGGGCTGGTCGGGGTCCCGTTGGGCAGAATCCCTGCGTGTAGTCCTGAGTCTCCCAATGTCCGCTTTTTCTCTGTTAGCTTATATAGCATGTTACGCAAAGGTGGCCTCATGCCAATAAGGCGTATGTGTCTTAGAAGGAGTCTGCTCTCGATTCTGGCTAGGAGCCGGGGCAGAGCCCTTGCACCAAATATTTCAGATTAAGGTGTTTATTGCCTCAAGGGCAGACTCTTGGAGGGTAGCCAGGCCTCTTTGAGCCCAGCACATACAGAGGTCACATGAATCTGAGTAACTCTTCTATGTTCCCTTCAACGATGCATACAAAGAAAGAGGAGTTTAGAAATATCTCAATTTCATCTTTGAGATAAAGGTAGTTAAAATTAAGTGCTCTCAGATTTTCTGTTTTTAATAATGGAAGACCATATTTTCAACCCAGGCTTGGTGGTACATGCCTATAATCTGAGCCACTTGGGAGGCAGAGACAGAAGGTTCAAGACAAGACTGAGCCACCCACTGAAAAGCTGTATCAAAAAATTCAGTGTTAAAACAGGATTGGGGATGTATCTCAGTGGTAGAGTACTTTCTAGCATATGTAAAGTCTTATGTTCAATCTTCACAACTCCCAAAACAAATATTTTTAATATCTGTAATTTATTTAGAAAAAACAGACATTGCCTTGGTTTTTATAATTTCTTGTGACTTGATTCTTGTAGCTATTTCAGCTAAATAGTTACAAGTGGCATGCAATCATTTATAATTAAAAATCACAGTGTTGGATCTTCTGAAATTGGTTCATTAATTTTGATAAATCTTATATTTTGAAATATTTGGAAATAGAAGTGATACATCTTTTAGCAACTTCATTCAAAGTGAAGTAAGGTAAAATTTTTATGAGGCTGAAATACACATTTAAGATCATCACTGGCTCATAAAAAAGTAAAAAATGATATCTGTACATGATTAAAATAGTGATGTTAGCATCTTTTAATGCTAGGAAAATAAAACTATATATTTTTGTTTAATATAACCATTTGAACTTATAATAACATGTGAATTTTAATGCATTTTTATGTCTTCTTTTCAGTTAACTTGAAGTAGGAGGAAAATCATCTTAAAATAGTAAAAGCATACATAGCTGCCTTCTTTTTTCCTTTCTTTTTATCACCTATAAGGCACACCTACTGGTCTGTCTCTGACCAATTTAACTGGTATCAGTATTTCGTATT